AGATTGACTTGGCGGGCATCTTAAACTAGCGAGTCATGCTTCGACCCAGTGGCGTTACGTATGAACAAGATATATAAGCACTAGAGAAATGTAGGGCGGGGATGGACTTGGTGGGTGAGGGATCCCTGTCTACAACGGCGTTGTTCTCGCAAGAACAGAGCTTGAAGCGATTTTTGCTCACGGCTCCTGCGACCCCCCCCCCCAGCCAATGAGGATAGTTAGATGCTGTAGACCCTCTTCCTTCCTGCATTCGGGCGCTTCGCAGACAGATAGCACACGAAGAGAACAGCAGGCCTTCTGCATCTATTTACGCTTCGAACATAGCCTGCATTGCTGTGATGACGTCCATCCCTCCTCACCCTGTGACGTGGTTGAACCAGTAGTTCCGGGCATTGTCCTGGTCGTATCCCAGCTTCCAAGCCTGCCAACGCGAGGTTGATGAAAGTGTGGAAGATTTGCTTAGGGCAGGACATGTGTCAAGGTCATGATATAGGACATGCCCATTCTGACCATGCTTAAATTCCTCCACTTCCTCTGAGCGGGATCGAGACAAAACACCACGCACCGGCGTGATTGCAGCTTGCCACCATGAACTAGTTCGTTCGGGCGTCAGCGTGAGCCTGCCATGATTTAACCTAGACGTGCCCAAGGCGTCACGGAGATATGTTGAGGTATTATGCGCTGATGATGGTCCAGTCTCGCCCCGCTGTTGTCGGCAGACGGAAAAAACGCACTAACAGCTACCAGGGGCCTAGGGTTCACTGCAATACTCCGAGTGAGAAAAGCCTTAGGAAAAACAGAGAGAAGAGATGAGTATCGAAGACATTAAATTGTCGTAATTTGTTGCTGTCGTGGATACATCCAATGTGGCTGATCTTGCTGGTAACTAACCTTCAGCAGGTAGTCGGCAGCCTCGTCCGCTTTCCGCTTTTTCTCAGTCTCTTCCAGCAGAAGCTTCACCTGAAATAAAATAAAAGCAGCTGAGCATGAAATCGTACCCGGTTAACCTCTGCCGAGCCTGGGAGAGAGGGAGGGAGAGAGAGAGGGAGAGAGAGAGGGAGAGAGAAGAAAAGAGAGGAAGAGAGAGAGAGGAAGAGAGAGAGAGACGCGGGTACAACGCCTGCGAAGGAAGCATCCACATCTGGGCTTTTAGTTTTTAGAGACGTAATAGTTCGATGAATGGCTGCCTCTTTGTTGTGTTTCTTGCTTTCATCGTCTTCGAAATTGGTACGCTTTCATCCTCTTGGGAAATTGATGAACAGTCAACGGTTATCAACGCTTGTCAAACAGAGCGATTTGCCAAGAGAAGCCAATCGTGGAATGTATTGTACCTAAGGGGGCGAGGGAGCCTTTGGAAGCGACGCACGTATTCCCCCGAGATGGTGCAAGTTAGGCACGTTCCTAAAGACTGATAGTTAGCACCCGACTGCTGCCAGAAAGATCCCGGCCCCCCCTCCCCGTGGAGCCAGAACCCGCGTACGGGGGACGAAATCCTCTAGTGGTAAGCCAACCAGCAACGGATGGTGCACGCAACACATCTGTGCAAAACATTGATTGTGCGATTGTTGTTTTTTGAGAGTTTCACCTTGGTGGCCTCGTGCTCACGCTGGAGGCGTTTTTCCTCCTCCCTCTTCTCGTGCTCCAGTTGTTCCAGCTCAAGCCTCTTGGATTCCTCTAGCGCGAACGTTTCGTCCAACACCTTTTGCGGTAACGAACCATCAGCCCAATAAACAGGTCGAGGGTCAGAAGGAGGAGGAGGAGGGTGAGGTGCGGTCGACACCATGCACAGCCTTAGTGTCCGCAATAGACCCACGCAACAACTATGCGGGCCAACACAGGATGTGGTGTGGCAATCCAGGCCGGCGGTGATTTGCTCTGCGGATCCTCGTCCCGAAGGGTGTCATACTTGACTGCTTTCCAGTCTGGGCATTTCCAGAGACTGCTTTGTGCGTAGAGACACTCCTCTACTGCCCGACGGTGCGTGACATTGGTGATCTCCCCTCACTCACGCGCACCACCTGGTACCTCGAAAACGTGGCACTCGCACAATAAAATCCTTAACGCTTGGACTGTTCAAAGAACAGGACAATAAATGAGGCAACGTCTTGAGGGGAAAAAATATACATGCAAACGAACTAATGCAGAGTAGGCTTGTCCGCAGGAGTGACGCATCACATGCGGACGAGGTTAAGGAGATGCGAAAGTGGGAGGAACGGCAATGTTCGGGAGCAGTACTCGCAGACATCCCACTCCATGAGCGACTCTTAACTTCTCCCGCAATCAATCGGGCGAAACACGAGGGGATAGGTCATGGTCGGAACTTTGTAGCGCGCGAAGCACAGGAGCCATTGCGGGCGAATTAGATAAGCAACCGTGGTTTGGTCAATACAAAAAAGTGCTTGTGCCGGTTCAAGACAATGAGTGATTGCGGGCGAATTGAAAAGGCAGTTTCTTTGTCGATTGGTCGAATCCACAGGTGTTTTTTAGGCCGGCCGGTTCACGAAAACGAACAACAATCGCGAACGCTTAGCGGCGCTAGGCGTCAAGTTACCTTTCTGCGGAGGCAGAAGCGCAGCCTCATCTTCTCCCACTCGCAGTGCCGAGTCCACGTCTTCTGCAGGAGCCGCGCCGCTCCGTCCTCTAGCCGAGCCCGCTCTTCCTCCTCGGCCTTCTTCACCATCAGCCGCGCTCGCTTGGCAAACCTTCGTTGTTGTTTTTTCATCATCACGATTCACGCGGGAGCGGCGAGATGGTGGTATGTAGTAGAAGCAGGTGAGATAGGGGGTGAATGTGGAGTATGTAGATCAGCCGCGCTTTTGCGATGCAATTTTTGTTGTCGCAGCTGAAAACAAACGCCAGGGGCGCCAAGGATCGTGACACGCGAACAGGCATCGCTGGTTTGACCGGCAACAAATAAGTTAGGGAACGAAAAGACTTTTTCTTGTAGGATGTAAAGGAGCTACGCATGAAGCCTACATATCAGGACGACGCACGCCTGACAAGAGACATAGTAGAAATGGGTTTTTCGCGCAATAGTCTATCTGCAGCTGAGTGTGGTGAGTCGACCTGTGCAGAACGGTCTCGGTGCCGTGTTTTAAAAGCGAAGGGGGACACGGTCATTCGTCATTTGGAACGTATTCAGACCTGTGGCACAAAGTCGGGATAAAACGGACGCCGATCGTGTCGAAACGTGTCGAGTTTGGCGTGGTGCGTCCCGCTGAATCTCCAACCATGACTAGTTTGAGCCGTAGTAGAGGAGCCGCCACGTTTACGGCGTGCTGGTGGTCGATCGCACATCGGGTCTCGGTACATCGCCCGATTTTTTGTTGTGCGTCCCAACATGATCACCGTGTTTGGCGTTGTGTGTGTCAGGTACTTAACAACGCTTGCGCTCCCGAGCACAACAAAACTCGGTGTGTGCGCAACAAAAAGAGAGCTTTTCACACACGCAGCGTGACGCTGCTTCCAACTACGGCCGCTCACCGCCCCCTGAGCATCACTCGAGCCTGCCTTCGGCGCCACCACCCCTGCAGAACCTTCGCCGCTGCCTCTCTCTCCGCCGCCTTCTTTGCCAGCGCGATCCTCGCACGCCTTCCCTGTGACGACCACAGACAAAAGTCGCTCGCGTTGGCCTTCCGCGTATGGAGTGGGTTATCTTTTTGGGACCCCCTGCACCCGGCGCCATCTATTGCCACCAGAACATTCGGACTGGCGTAGACACATAAAGGATCACGTCCGTGATGCCTAAGCTTCCACCTATCCCTCGGTGACGTGCTTCCTTCATGTGTTGGTGTTCTGGTCCTTTTCTCTCAAGGCAGGCTGCAGCGGTACGCATCACTCAGCGCTGGTAAACACGCCCTCAACCACTGAAAAACTACGTTCTGTGCTGCTGTACCTCGAAGCGGCGCGACAGGTAAACTCTCATGGATCGTCTGCGCCACGCGAGCTGCACGGCCACGGCGGCCTCCTCCCTGCGCCGAAGGTACTCCTCCCTGGCCAACACATCGCGCTTTGCACGCGCACGGCCGACGCGCAATGAAAAAAGGCGTCAGGGGAGGGGGGGCGAGGAGGGTACTACTGTACGTACCAAGAACCAATTTAGCGGCACAGGCCGAGAGAATGAGAGAATGTCACAGGATGAGAGAATAAGGTCTTGGATGGCGCGGGTGGGGAAGAAACTTCACGGTGTACGGGAAAAGCTTGCATGTCGTTCATCATTCCGTAAAACGAGCGGTAGGAACCAACCTCCGTGCCAACTTGTTTCCCTACACAACAGAGGTACTTGTAGCTCCACCGGCGCGAGCTAGTTCTTCCGCTACGTGCCGTCGGCAGCGCTTTCCGGGACGTACTGGTGCTTGCTGCTCACCTACCTGCTTGTTTGTTACTCGTTGTTTGTTGTTGTCATTGTTGTTGTCTCACTGATAGCACGTGTTCTGACCTCTGACCACACTTTATACAGTACAAATACACTCCGGCAAGTGGCGGGCGGTAGCCACAGGTTGGCTAACACCGGAGGGGCACAAAGAAAACAATGAACTCAAGAGGAAAGCCCTCCGGCCTCGGGAAAATCAAACAAGAAACGGCGGCCAACGTGCCCGCGCCCGATTTACCAACCCGACCGCGAGCGACTCGAAATAGATGTAACTCGCAAGCAACGTATCATCTGTGATTCCCACGGGACTCCGCGTGCGTGTTCACCTTGTATGCTAGCTGGTATCGCGCGACGATTCGCAGGGTGGTGTAGTAGACTCCCTGGCGTCGGCGGTACCACAGCTGAATCTTGCTCACGGCGGCATTCATCTCTCGCAGCGATCTCGCCTTGAGAAAAAATGACGTGCCGAGGTATCCGGGTCGCGTGGCAGGAAAGGTCAACCACTCGAAACTCAGGGTACGGTTCGACCACAACGATAACAGCAACAACAGCACAGCAGCAACAATAAGGACAACAACGGACACAGGCTGCACCCAGAACAACAACAACAACAGATCAAGAAAACATTGAGTGTACCCGGAACGTGCGCCTGCACCAGCGTGATACCCCGCACGATGAGCAAAGCCCCCCCGTTGGCAACACGAAGCTCGCCAGAGGCAGGCACGCCACAGCGGTGGCACCCCCCCCCCCCCCCCCCCCAAAAAAAAAACCCACCAAAAAGGGAAAAACCAACCCAAAAACGGCCAAAAACTACTGGGTTGGAAAATTTAAGGGAAAAATCCCTAAAAAAAGGAAAGCAATCCCGCGAACCTGCCCCAGGAAGAATTTTCGGAAGGGGAAACCCGAACCGAGGCCCTTGGGGGCCTTTGGGGGAAGGGAAAACCCTTGGAGGAACCCCCCCCCCCAATCCCCTTTGGGCGGGAACCGGGGGGGAAGCCCCCCTACCCCGGGCGCCAGCCCCACCCCGAACCCAAGGCCCCCCCCCACCCCCCGGAGGCGGAAAGGCCAAAACCCCCCCCCGGCCTTGAAAAATTGAAACTTCCCCTTTCCCAAAAACCCCCCCAGGGGGAGGATCCCCCAATTTTTTTTTTTT